CAACTGAACAGACCCAAGAAGAGATTTTGCTTTGATAAAAGATGGCTAACAATGGAAGGTTGTTCTGAGGTAGTCAAGCAGACATGGTCAAAGCAATAGTTGGGAACTCCATTTTTTATCCTAAAAGAAAAAATCAAAGAAACTAGGTTGGCCTTACTTCAGTGGAGTTCTCAATTCAGGAAGCAAATAATAGGTAAAATTGAGGATCTTACTGGCCAACTTGAAGCTTTAATTGTCGAAGGGAGAGAAAAGGATTGGGATACATGGGAAAAAACAAAGAGAGATCTCAATGAAGCTCACTACCAGGAGGAGCAATTTTGGCAACAGAAGGCCAGACACCTTTGGCTTAAGCATGGGGATAACAATTCTAGATTTTTTCATGCATATGTCAGGCACAGGAGGAAATTGAACTATATTTCCAGATTGGTGGATAGGAACAACTGGACTTATCAAACTCAGTCAGAGATTGAGCACCATATCACAGATTTCTACAGCTCCTTATTCACTTCAGAGGGGTCATGGGGAGAAGACAACCTGTTACATCTTATTCCAAAAACTATCTCTGAAGACATGAACATTGATCTTCTTAAACTAGTGGAGGATGCAGAGATTAAATCAGCCCTATTCAGTCTTGCTCCTGAGAAGGCCCCTGGTGAAGAAGGTATGAATCCTTTGTTTTACCATCACTTCTGGGAGGTTATTAAAGGGGATTTAATTGCAGCTGTCAAAAGTTTTTTCTCATCAGGTATGATACTTAAGTACTGGAACCAGACCCTTATTACATTGATTCCCAAAAGCAAAAACCCTGATTCCATTGACCAGTTCAGACCTATAAGCCTTTGCACTTGGTTTACAAAATTATCTCCAAGCTTCTAGCCACTAGACTGCAATCCTTTCTTGACCCTTGCATTAATCCTTGCCAATCAGCCTTTTTAAAAGGCAGACAACTTCTGGACAATGTTATTATTGCCCAGGAGGTATTCCATTTTTTAAACAGGCACATGAATGGTAAGCATTGTTTTATGGCTCTGAAATTGGACTTGATGAAGGCTTTTAACAGATTAGAGTGGAAAAGTTTGCATGGCATTATGCTTAAAATGGGATTTGCTCCTCATTTTGTGAAACTGATTCTGGAATGTCTATCTTCTTCCTCTCTTGCATTCAATATCAATGGTCAAATCAGTAAGTCTATCCTCCCTACAAGGGGCATCAGGCAAGGTGATCCACTGTCACCTTATGCTTTCCTTATCATTGCTGAGCTGCTATCATCCATGATATCCAAAGCTATCACTGCTGGCACTTTATCTGGTCTGAAAATTTCAAAAGATGGCCCTACTCTCTCTCATCTGTTGTTTGCAGATGATGCTTTGTTGTTCTGTAGGGCTGGTGTGGATCAAGTGCAGAATCTTCTTAGTATACTGGAGAACTTCAGAATGTACACAGGGCAGAAAGTAAACTTGAATAAATCTTCAATATTCTTCAGTAAGAATTCCCCTAATGCCTTACAAGTTCAAATTTTCCGTCAGCTCCAGGGTATCGGCAAGCATCATTCTACTAGATATTTAGGGCTACCTCTGGGAATTGGCAAATCTAAAAGGGAAGCTTTTGATTATGTTATTAGCTCAGTAAAAGCTAGATTGAGCAGCTGGCAATCTAAACTCCTATCCCCTGCAGGAAAAGAAGTGCTTATCAGAGCTGTTTTGAATGTCATCCCCATTTTTACTATGGCATGCTTCAAACTTCCTATTTCTGTTGTTAAGGAGATCTCAAGACTTTGTGCCTCTTTTTGGTGGAGTAATGGGGAAAACCAAGAGAAAAGTGTCCATTGGAGGTCCTGGAACAAACTGACTCTTCCAAAAGATGAAGGAGGACTTGGCTTTCAGGATGTCAGACTTTTTAATGAAGCCCTAATATGCAAACAACTCTGGAGAATTACAGCACAGCCTCAGTTGCTTGTCAGCAGAGTTATCAAGAGCAGGTATTATCCCTCTTCATCCATTTTTTATGCAACTAAGTCCCAGAACTGTTCTTGGCTTTGGAACAGTTGGTTGCAGATTCTCCCCACTTTTGCAAAGGGTTTCAAGAATTCAGATTGGAAATGGTGTCTCAACCAAGATATCTGACATTAATTGGATCCCCTCACTCATCTCTCACAAACCGGTATTATTGGACATTGCAGTGGGTCATCTGATCTGGTTCAAAGATCTCCTTAGTGACAATGGTTTAAATTGGAACTCTTGGTTGGTTTCCCAGGTTTTTAAATGCTGAGGACTGTCAAGCCATTTTGAAGATCAACACTATGAATCCTAACAGAAAGGACAAATTTTATTGGGGCTTTGAGAAGAAAGGCTTGTTCTCTGTATCTTCCTCATACTCATTTCTTGTGGATCGAAAACTGCAGCTAATGGATACTCCTCAGAGCAACTCTAATCATAAAATCATTAACAAAGCTAGAGCAAGAACATGGAGACTGAAGGTGCACAACAAGTTAAAGCACTTCTTATGGAAGTGCAGCTCCAACACGTTGCCTGTTAAACATAATCTCTTGAGGAAAGGCATTCCAGTTGATCACATATGTCAATCATGTGGAGAAGATACAGAAACTGTGAACCATGTTTTTTTCCAATGCCCTCGAGCAAAGCTGTTATGGGAGATTAGCCCTGTGACTTGGGAGGGGACTTGTGCAACAGAGAACAATTTCAGAACATGGTGGTGGCAGGTGTGCTCTATAGCCAAATCAGATGTGGCCGAGGCCCGCATCCAACTCACAACATACCTCCTTTGGTGGCTATGGAAGTCACGCAATCTTTGGCTCTTTCAAAAATCTCTTATGCCAATCCCAGCCTTAATCAAATTTGCCATCAGAGACTGGAAAGAATTTACAGCTGCATCTATCTAATATCTGGTTTTGCCTCGGATTTTATTGCCTTTGTTTTCTTTTTCCCTTGGTCTGTTTGCTTTGGAATTTAGTCGAGTATGCTAGGCATTTGCAGTGGTATATTAGGCTTCATTCTTAGTTAGGTTGTTTGTTTTCTGTTTAATCCCATTGAGGGATTTCTAGGCCGTTTTCTAACGTGTCCTCCCTATTTTTTTTTTTTTTCGGCTATG